CCCCAAAACCCCAAAACCCCAAAACCCCAATTTCCAAAAATGGTGTTGAAATAATACTCTAATATAAAAAGTAAGGCTATAATGGAGACTAATGTTTTTAGATGAGAAGAGGACGTAGTAGAAAGATAGTTAGATTTAATTTCAAAGACACCCAATTCCTTGATTCTGACACTGATAGTAAAAAAGGAGCGGGTTTTACTCCTTCTATCCGAAAAGACAAGGCAAACAAACTTTGCAACTTTAGCGAAGCTAGCATTGGTAAGAGCTTAAACCTTAATCAATATTAATAGTTAACAAAAAGAAGCCTAATCTGAAGCTTCCTAAGATCAAAAGTCTTGGGATGGCAAAGAAGCCTAGCCCTTTAGCACAATATCTTTCTGCAAATTCCACCCCCAAAAGTAAGGAGCTATTTTTGCTAAACTGCACTTTTGGACAAACAGTTTCGAGAAATTCTATTATGACCCAAGTACTGATCAGTTCTTCTTCAAGATTTTTTAAGCCATGGATGAATCTTAAGTCTTTAATCGTACTTGTAATAGGCTCTGATGGTCAGCCAAAACTAAAGCACTTCAAGAACAGATATACTGTTGTAAGGCTCCAAATCGTTCAGCTTAACCTGTTTAGAAAAATGGGAGTAAGAAATATTCAGAATTTCTTGGGATTCAGAAGAAGAAGACCTCTGACATCCTCCAAATAATCTTCAACAAGGACTACACCAAAGGTAAGGGCTTGTCTAAGTTCACTTCTCATCCTCTGAGAGGGATTCCCAATTGGGATTTAGAATTCTGAGGATAACATTTTATGTAGAATCCGAAAGTCCGAAGACTACCAAGGCTCATGGGAAATCTCTAAGCAAGATAGAATCCCAATTTGGTTTGTCACACCTGAATGGAAGGTTTGTACAAGAGAAGAGAATCGTTCCAAATATTGTACGAGATTTCTGAATGAACTCCAATAAAGAAGGTAAGTAAATTTTGCGTATTTTGGGTATATTTCTATAGTTATGACTCCAGCTCAAACAAAGTGAGACTTGTTGAAACACTCAAAACAAGAACTTGAGAGAGAATTCAATTCAAGAGGAACAAAAGACTTTAATTCCTTCATCGAATAAACCCAGATATTGGAATATTCCTAAATTGGTTAGAGTTGATTACTAAAGGGCTAACCTTAAGGTTCCAGCAAAGATAATTTTACCAACTCAATGATAAGATTGTAAAGCTTTATCATCTAAAATATCAGTTTGAATCATAAATGTCATAACTTTGCTTCTAAGTGGAAGATTAAATCAGAGTTTATCTAAAAGATAGCTAAATCTAGCAATTAAAGATAAAACAGATTACTTGTTAATAACTTGGCACTTTACCTAATTCAATAGTTTATTTCTCCCATTTATGCGTGGCTTCAGGTTGCATTGCCTAACCTCTAAATATTGGTTTCGACAGGTTAAATTCACAATATGAAAATCTGAATATGAAATTTTTATACAAAGACAAAAACCTTTGGATGCTCCATACAGCTCAATTTTAATAGAAATCTTAAAAACTAAAAAACCTGAAGCAAAATTGACGCTGGAGGTCATTGGATACTAAATTACGAGCTTTCATAGCTAAAAAACCACCAAAATTGCCGGTAAAAAGTCTCAAAACACAGAGAACCCCAGAGCACAAAAATTAATATCGAACCTTAAATCTGGGGATTCAAAAAGGGGTTTTGGGGTTTTGGGGTTTTGGGGTTTTGGGG